TGAATATAAAGGTCCTCCTTAATTTGATTTATTTTCTTATTCTTAAAATACTGATTCAGTTGTACACAATTTGGTAAGCTCCAGAAAAAATTAGCAATCATTTGATTGAGGAAAATTGTAGTTTATATTGATCTCCTTTCTTGCCAAGATCATGCTATTATTGCTGACAGCAACAATTAATTTTTTTTTGGTCTCTTCCTGTCTCAATATTAGCTGAAGTTGAGGAAATACAGACCATTGTTTGACATGTAATTCTGAAAGATGTTTTATTATTGGGTCCAGGGATTTGTATAGTTCCAGTAATGGCCATGGACTCCACTTGACCCCAGATGTACTTAAAGTGTTGGTTGAGGGCAGGAATTTAGGATTTTTTAAATGTATGCTAGTTACAGGCACAGAAATCTTATTGACCATCTGTTCGTTTCCAAAACCCATAGAAGCCACAGGAGCATGGATTTATGGGTTTGAGGAACAAACAAGAAGTTACTTCAGAGCTCTTTACCTCCAGTGCCAATCTGTTAGATCTCCAGTTAAATCTGGGAAACTACCCTTGCCACCTCCATTTTACAGATTACTGTGAAGCTTATATTTCTTTGCTTCCCTCTGTTAAGCTTCTGATGTAGTCAAGGTTTCCTTCATTTTATGGCATTATTCCAAGGTGATAAAAACAATCTGCCTGAAATATCTTTTTCTCTACTTTTGGTACTGCCAGGCACACGATCCATCTGATGACAGGAAATAGCAGGAGCCTATGGAAATGTATAGCATTAGCTTGAAAACATAGGCCAAACTGGCTTTATTTAGACAGGTTTGTATTTTCCCAATCTTTAACGCATGCCTTATTTGCATATCGAATAACTTACGAAGCTGTGGGTAATTTCTTCTGTTTTTGACTTTTGAAAATGAGTTTATTTTGCTTCAAAGATCCCTTTTGGCCTACTCAACACCACACATACTTTTTCTAAGGATAAACTCAGAATCTCTTGGCAACCAATTAGTCAAATCAACAAGTATCTATTGATCTTGGCCTCAGGGACAGTTCCCTTCTTGTGGCATATCGAGTACAGCTTTTATTGAATTCTCCATAAAAGCATTCCTGTATGACTCAGAAACACAGAAATGATATGTCGGTCAGAGAATCTGATTAAACATTTCTACTATGAGAAATCAAGATACTTCCTGATGATTACAAGGACAGATAGTCCTGGTTGGCACTTTGTTGTGAGAAAAAGATCTTTCCTGGCACCACAGAGCTTTTTGAGTTTGCAGCTGGGCAATTTCTGTCAGCATCAGTGGCTACCTTTCCTTGCCCCCTCTTGGCCTCTGCTTTCATCATACAATATTTTTCAAATATTTGAACTATACGGTTATGCTATTGGAGGCCATGACTGAAGAAAGCTGTTATATATCCTTTGGGTCTAATTGTAGAGAATTACAGACTCATAAGCTATTAGAAGGGGAAATAACTTTCTCAGAAGTAATTGAGACCCAGAAAGAGGAGGTGACTTCCTTAAAAGTACACAGCTGATTGTTCCAGCAGAACTGAAGCTAGAATCCAGCCTTCGGGTCTATACCTCTCAGGTATGGAGAGTCACATTGTCAGAACAGAACAAAAATGGCCTTGGTAGAAAAATTTGTTAAAAATAAAAAATCAGTGGCTCACGTCTGTAATCCCAGCACTTTGAGAGGCTGAGGCAGGAGGATCCCTTGAGCCCAGGAGTTCAAAATCAGGCTGGGCAACATAGTGACATCCATTCCTTCTTCATACACAAAAAATCAGCCAGGCAAGGTGGTGTGCACCTGTAGTCCCAGCCACTTGAGAGGCTGAGGTGAGAGGATCGCTTGAGCCTGGGAGGACGAGGCTGCAGTGAGACGTGACTGCGCCACTGCACTCCAGCCTGGCTGGCAGAATAAGACCGTGTCTCAAAAAAAAAAAGGTCTGTCTGCTTATGAAATTGATACATGTTTATTGTAGGAAATTCAGGAACTACAAAAACAAGAAAAATAAGATTAAATAATCAGGATTTTTACCAAGTTAATTATTGTTAAATTTCCTTCCAGTCTATTTCTCTCTACACACACACACACACTCACACACACACTCTATATATCAGTTAGAGTTTTTGACAAGAAACAAAAGGAATACCTAGCTTGTATTTTGAAGATAATTATATGAAGGGACTATTTATATAGCTTTAAAGGAGCTAACAGTGGATGTTGGGACACCAAGAGACTAGCCACAGTGGACAGGGGGAAGAAAAAGTGTGTGGGAGCTCAGCAAGAGCTGGAGCTGGGGGAGAAGAACTGGCCATCTGAAGTTGTAATAATAGAGGACATGAGCAAAGGGTTAGCCAACCCCAGCCCCCTCAGCACGAGCATTTGAGCTGTAGTTAGTTTCCTAACTCTGTTTCCTTGGCAGTCTGAGAAAAGTTGGAATGCCGAATACGTTAGGAGGCAACTTTGCTTATGCTTAAAATGATCCCTGGATTGGGAGAATTATAAAGACCTGATGGAGAAGCCATATTTTGGGCATCTCTCACTGCAGTGATTCTTGTGGCTGGGCACATTTCTTGCTAGGTCCCTGGACTCAGTGTGCCTGTGGGGGCATTTCAAGACATAATGGCTCCTGTAGGATAGGCGGATTTTAAGACAGGCAGCTTATAGCTGTTTTGCTCTTTATACCTATATTGTTTTGGCATGGACTGTAGCAAACACTCCCATTGAAAAGGGATACCTGATACTGCCCTGCTGTGTTTCCTGTTTTATATCCTTCTGAGTAGAGTGGCTCTAAGTGTGTCCTCTGTTAGTCTTTGAGCATGAACATGCAGTTGAATCTAAGAAAACTCAGCACATCTCAGGGATACATCACTGCCCAAACTGTGATGCAAAAGTATGGGGGGAAGGGGAAAAATACCCCAAGCTCTCTCTCCTTCTGTCCTCTACTCTCCTAGAACTCCTCCCCTTACTTTGACTAAACCTAACCGGAAGATGGAGCTCCAGGAGAAATGCCCTGATGGTCCCAGCTGTGGCAGGTACTCACCAGAGTTTATCATACTTCTATTGATGGACACCTGGGCTGTTTTCAGTTTTTAGCTGCCATGAACATTTGTGTACAAGGCTATAGTTACATATTTTAATTTCTCTTTGATAAATTCATAGGAGTTGAATTTTTGGGTCACAGGATCTACAAACATTTAACTTTTTAAGAAATGGCCTGTTTTGGCATGGTGGCTCACAATTGTAATCCCAGCACTTTGAGAGGCCAAGGCGGGTGGATCACAAGGTCAAGAGATCGAGACCATCCTGGCCAACATGGTGAAACCCTGTCTCTACTAAAAATACAAAACTTAGCCGGGCATGGTGGCGCATGCTTGTAATCTCAGTTACCCAGGAGTCTGAGGAAGGAGAATCTCTCGAACCCAGGAGGCAGAGGTTGCAGTGAGCGGGGATTGTGCCGCTGCACTCCAGCCTGGCAACACAGCGAGACTCCATCTCAAAAAAAAAAAAAAAAAGAAATGGCCTGTTTTTCAAAGTGGTTGTACCATTGTATAGTCCTGCAAACAAAGTAAAAAAAGCCCCCTTGTTCCACACATTTCCAGCATTTGGTGTTCAGTTTTTCATCTGGGCCATGCTAGTGGTTATGTAGTAGTGTCTCATTGTGGTTTAATTGAATTTCCCCAATGACTAATGATGTGGAGGAGGTTTTCATGTTCTTATTTGTCATGCACACAGCTTTTATGAAGTATCTGTGCAAGTCTTTATAGAATTTGATTGTCATTTGATTGATTGTTATTGTCTGTTTGATTATTTTTATTATCGAGTTGTAGGAGTTCCTTATATGTTCTGGATACAAGTCCTCTGTCAGATATGTGTGTTATGATCATTGTCTCTCAGTCAGTGGTTTATTCATTTTCTCAATGGTGGCTTTGATTAAGCAACATTTAAAAATGTTGTTAAGTCCAACTTATAATTTATTTCTTTTTGTTCCTTCTCTTTGCTTGCCCTAAGATTTAGAAAAAATCCTAGTTGTAGATTATTAAAATAATTTCAATTTAAAAATGAAATCCAGGGTGCTTTTCAGATTACCATGTGTCCTACTTCATAGCAGGTGTGTCTTCATAAAAGTTTATAAAATGCTGACTGCTTAGCATTGCAAAGAGACCTTGATACCATTTTTTCCAAACTCCTCCCTAACATTAGATTTCCTTTAAAAAATATTTCTGATAATAATTCAGCCTCTAGATGTGTATTAGACTGTTCTCTCACTGCTATAAAGAAATACCTGAGAATGAATAATTTATAAAGAAAAGAGGTTTAATTGGCTCACGGTTCTGCAGGCTGTACAAGAGGCATAGCAGCTTCTGCTTTTGGGGAAGCCTCAGGAAACTTACAATCATGGCAGAAGGTGAAGGGGAAGCAGGCACTTCTTACATGGCCAGAGCAAGAGGAAGAGAGAGAGAAGAGGGAGGTGATACACACTTCTAAACAACCAGACCTCGTGGTAACTCACTCACTCACAATCACGAAAACAGCACTGAGGGTATGGTGCTAACCCATTCATGAGAACTCCACCCCCATGACCCAGTCACCTCCCACCAGGCGCCACCTCCAACGCTGGGGATTACAATTTGACATGAGATTTGGTAGGGACACAGAGCCAAACCATATCAGGATGCTTCTAGAGATTGAAAGCTACCAGAAGTGAGAAATGAAGCCAAATATAAAATAATCACTTCTTGAAATTGACACAGTCTTTTAACAATTTGCTAAGTAGAATTGTATGCAATAAAAATTGGGTTCCTTTCCTGCTTTTTGTATGTACAATTGGACCTTTACCTCCTAAAATGGAAAGACTTTAAAGCATTATAAAATATTGTTTTGAAGGGAAGAAATATTGTTCGAGAAGTAAAGCTAACTCTCAAGGCTCAGTTGCTTTGAGGTTGGTATGTGACAGCACATTTCCAGCCTGGAAATGATGTTTTTTTTTTTTTCTTAATTAGGAACCTGACCTTGATGGTGAAAAAAATATGGAAGTAACTCCAGGAGAAAAGGTACTCAGGAACACCAAAGAGCAACGGGATCTGCGTATTCGGCTGAGAGAGATTGATGAAAAGCTGAGAATGATGAAGGAAAATGTGGTAAGCTTTCTTTTTTTTAAATTAACTTTTTTTTAGACAAAAATAGAGTTGGGGTCTCTCTATGTTGCCCAGGCTGGTCTCGAACTCCTGGGCTCAAGTGACCTGCCCCATTCAGCCTCCCAAAGTGCTAGGATTCCAGGTGTGGGCTACCACACCTGACCATCTCTCTTATTTAAAGATGGTATAACCAAAACTTGTACCAAAAAAGGTTTCAGTCTTTTTTGACTATTTTATGACTCTTCTCATGTGTTAAATCAGCCATGTGAATTTGTCAGTCACAATGTGAATAAAAGCTAAACATATAATTCATAGGACTTTGATATTATTGTGAATTTAAGCAATTTATATAATATAAAACATTAATTTAAATAACATAAAGCATATTCTGACTTCAGATAGTGTGTAAGATACTTCGGATAGTGTGTAAGATACTATCTGAAGTCAGAATAATTATCCTTAATCCTAATATTCTGACAGTGACACAAATACTCATTTTTTTGTGGAAAAATTTGGTAGTTCTCCCTAAAATCATCCTTCTGTTTTGAACTTATAGCTTAAATTCTCTCACTTTTTGTTTGTAATTACTAATATATTATTAGTAATTAATGAATTTTAATGCATTCCAAGTCTTTCTTGGCCTACTTCATGTTTTTCTTGCTCAACATGAAGACATGTCATTACTGATGAGTGAAAACTCTTAGAGCAACCCAGTTGTGAGCTGGTTGATACTCTGAACCTGTTAGAAATGCTCTATCGTATTATGATTTTCCAGCTACCTACAGCATGTTTTTAGCTGGATACCTGGATTTTCCCTAAAATTAAACATGTCAAGGCTGAGCTTGTGACTGTGCTCTTGTGGTAATTACCTGCAGTAACCCCTTTTGGTTTCCTGCTAAATTCTGTCATCTTGGGTGATCTTCAAGCCTCTTTGAGTTTTAAACAATGTGACTAATTTGTTGCCATATCCTTCCTGAGTTTCTTATGACTCAAAGTCTTTTTTTTTCTGCCCCTACTTTTATCACCCTTCTCTCAGTGTTGTCACCTCATGCCTTAGCCACTTATAACCTGGTTTTTGTAGGATTTCTTGTTTCCAGTCACTCCCTCTGTCATTATTCCACTTAATATACTGCACTGTGGAGTAAACATCAGGTGAGTGATTTTAAAATATGCTCCCCTTCAGAGCCCCTGAGTGTGTGTCACAATCCTGTCTTCACACCTTAATGGTCAAGCCCAGCTGAACTGCCCTCACTGCCCGCAGGCCACAGATAGCAGCACTGACACAGAGCCTGATGGAGATCAGGGTCACTTCATGAGAGTTAGGCAGCAGATCTAAAGGGAATGAATACATAGTGCTTCTTTTAGAGCTCATTTTTATTTGCTTTGCATGGAGAATCTCATGGATGTTATATTTCAGGGAGACCTCTGTTTCCATTTTCAGAGAGATTTCCCTGATTCTGTTGATGGGATGAAGTAGAAGAAGTAGGAATGGGCCGGGGGCAGTGGCTCACTCCTGTAATCCCAGCACTTTGGGAGGCCGAGGTGGGCGGATTGCCTGAACTCAGGAGTTCGCGACCAGCCTGGGTAACAAGGTGAAACCCCGTCTCTGCTAAAATCCAAAAAAAATTAGATGGGTGTGGCGGCGTGCACCTGTAGTCCCAGTTACTTGGGAGGCTGAGGCAGGAGAACTGCTTGAACCCGGGAGGTGGAGGTTGCAGTGAGCCCGAGATTGCACAACTGCACTCCAGCCTGGGCAACAGAGTAAGACTCTGTCTCAAAAAAAAAAAAAAAAAAAAGTAGGAATGGTAAGGAAGTGTAAGGGGGCTCTTGGCCATTCATTGTAGTGGTAATGATGGTACACTGTAAATTCGATGTTGTAAATGAAATGTTTGTGGTTTGATTGGTTTTGAAAACTGTTGGTACTTCCTCTCACCCCATATCTGCCAATCCAAGGTGGGCTAAGCCTGTCACTCCCCATGATCCATTCTTCTGATTTTTGACTGCTGTGGTCTGGAGGTTTGTGTCCCCCCAGAATTCCTTTTGAAACCCTAATCCCCAAGGTGATGGGATTAGGAGGTGGAGAATTTGGGGAAGTGATTAGGTCATGTCAGTGAAACCCTTGTGAGTGAAATTAGTGCCTTTATAAAAGAGGCCCAAGGGAACTCATTTGCCCCTTTTACCATGTGAGGATGTAGTGAGAAGTCACCCCTATCAACAAGGAAATGGGCCTTTACTAGGCACCAAACCTGCCAGCTCTTTGATCTTGGACTTCCCAGCTTCTAGAACTGTGAGAAATAAGTTTCTGTTGTTTATAAACCACCCAAAATACCATTATTTTGTTGCCCAGACAGACTTAAGACACTGGCCATTTATCACATACCTTGAACATGTACCTGTTCTTTTCTACCACGTCTCTACCATTATTTAATTTTTGGCTCAAAACCAGGATCCTTTAAGAAAGCGTATGTCATTCCACTGCCTTATGAAGTTTGGCTACACTTAAAGGGATATAATAAATGTCAAGAGTTGGTTGTTATCCAAGTGGAAAAGAATAATACATGAGTAGATAAGAGCAGTTATTGAATACCAACTATGAGCCAGGCACTGTCCCAAGTATTTTACAGATACTAAAGTGTTTAATCATCACAGCTGCTCCATGAGGTAAATACTGGTCCTCATTTTGTAGACGAAGAAATGGAGCGAAAGAGAGGTTGACTAATTCCTTAAGGTTACATGGCTAGTAAGTGGAGGAGATAGGATTCAAATGGTTAGCATTTAACAACTATGCTATTACTGCCTTTCTGGGACTTGCTTTTCTTTTCATGATTAATGTTGTTTTTTTGTTAATTAAAGTGTGATAAACTTGTTATAATCAGTAATATTCATGAGTGAAATGTTTGGGTTCCCCTATACAAATTTTATTTTCATAGTTTTGTCTTTTACAGTTAACATTTTCAGAGGCTGTTATCTGCATGATAAAGGCCCACAAATGTTGATCTGTACTGTTTTATGTTTTTTTTTTCTGAGAATATCACTTCCGTTGCCCAAGTTGGAGTGCAGGTAATCCTCCCACCTCAACCTCCTGAGTAGCTGGGGCTACAGGTGTGTGCCACCATGACCAGCTAATTTTTTTATATTTAGGAGAGGCAGAGGTTTACCTTGTTTCCCAGACTGATCTGTCACTCCTGAGCTCAAGCAATCTGCCCACCTTGGCCTCCCAGAGGGCTGGGATTATAGGCCTGAGCCACCACGTCTGGCCCTGTTTTATGTTTTCATTGCTTAGTGTAGATTCATAACTGTAGATTCCTAACTGAGTTCATAATTGTGGATTCACATTGTGTACCATGTGACCTGTTGAGGGGAAGATACTGTGTGTTTCAAACTCTGAAAACGCACTGTACCTCATAGATGGCTAGATACTATTTCGACCGGGAATCTGGAGACCTGAGTCCTTGTTTCAGTTTTGTTTATAGCCTGCTCTGTGACTTTGAATAAATTACATAGTTTCTCAGAGCAGGGGTCCCCCACCCCTGGACCAAGGACCAGGTACAGGGCCGCTCAGCAGGTGGTGAGCAGCAGGTGAGGGTGGCTTCATTTGTGTTTATAGCTACTCCCCATCTCTTGCTTTACCTGAGCTCTGCCTCCTGTCAGATCAGTGGCATTAGATTCTCATAGGAGCACGAGTCCTATTGTGAACTGCACACGCCAGAGGTCTAGGTTGCACATTCCTTGTGAAAATCTAATGCCTGATCATCTGAGGTGGGACAGTTTCATCCAAAAACCATACCCCTCCTCCACCGCTCCCCCTATTGCCAAAAAGGTTGGGGACCACTGTCCGAGAGACTTCATTTCATTGCTTTAAAGTCAAGAGAGTAGTGCAAGATGACCTCTGTTCTTTTGCCAGAGATTGTTGGCACACTTACTTTTAATAAGAAGTGATGTTATTTTTAATATGTAGTATCTAAAACTAGTTTGTGTGTTTCCTAAATATTTGGTATTAATTGGATTAAATCTTCTATCGAAAGTTACTTTTGGAAGTTTAGTAACACTTTTTAGGAGAATGCGAGATTGTCTTTTCTATATACAAAATTAGTCTACTGCCCTCCAACCAGAGAATGTGGTTTCTGAATGATAGGAAATGGCCAACTTTGCAGTTTTGCCTTATTCTGCCTCCTGCAATGGAACATCCTTTCAGGATTACTGGTGGAAGACGTAATCTGTGGCCATTGAATTGGTGATCTAAGGATCAAACCCATATCCTGTTTTAGGGATGGGAGAAGAAAGAGTGAGCTAAGGGGCAGTATAGGAGCCCTAGGGGGTACTGGAAACGCCTGCATCCAGGATTGATTTGTCAGTAAAGGCTGGAAAAGCAGCTTAATTCTGTGTTTCAGGGTTAGGCTGAGGCTGCTGATGCACATTTGTCTTGGTCAAGACTGGTTGAGGAAGTGGGATTTGATTTAGTCCGTGGGAGGTGGTAGTGTTGTTGGCATCAGTGGATTTAGCTATTAGGAGCTAGGGAAAGTAGACAATGAAATGAGATTGAAGCTCACACACTTAATATGAAACTCAGTAGGCATCAGGGGCCTTGAAAAGCCGCTCTGAGAGTGGAGGAAGGATGAGCCGTGGGTGCTGGAAGCAGCATGTGTGAAGCACATCTGTAGGATTTCCTTAGTGTGAGTTAGCCATGTCATACAGCTGCTCTGGGACACATTAAGAGAGAAGTAAGCAAAATGGATCATCTGTAGATATTAGAGTGACCAAGATGAGGAAGAGATGTAAAACCAGGTCATATGAAGGATCGTTAATGGGGCTACATGTATTTATTTAGCCCAGCAAAGAAGAGACTAGTGCATGTGTGTTTTGTATGTGTTTGTTGGGGTAGGAGGGAAGGGGAGTGGTTTGGTAGAAAAATCACAGACGGTCACTTCCCAAAGAGATTTAAAGGGCTGACATGTTAAATATTAATTTGATTCTTTATAGTGGAGGAGGAAAATGCATGGTGA